TTGTACAGGAAATTTCCATGTACCTACCTGCAAAAAAGCAACTAAAAATTAATAAAAATCACAAAGTTATGTTGATTACAAGAGAAAAGATCGCAAAACTGTCTGCAATTGCCCCATACTACTCTAAGGGGTTCGCCTCCTTCTTCTTGTTCTCGTCGTTTTTCGTACACCACCAAATCGTTTGTTTTTCGTTTCATCAAATAAAGCTTATGATGAGCTTGTGCCGATTATAACACATCTGCTGTCTTTAAATAGTATGGCGTTTTCGAAAACTAAAGTATATTCGTTACCGGATGCTATATAAATCATTTTCAAAATGATCGTCATCCGTCCGGAAAGTTACCCAGCTGACAGGGCAGTGTCGCATGTTATTTTGTGTAGAACTAGAATCCATCTTCATCCAATCGATCATTGCAGATACATGGCCAGACAGAGAGTATCTTAGTTGGGTATTGCCCGTGTTATTGCCCTTAGTAACAGATTATAATATTTATGAGTTAATTTATATTACGGATCCGGACAACTCTTTCTCCGATTCGAATGTCTAATCAAGCAAATAATTTTATAAGTTTCAATAAAAGATCCTTTTTATTAGGATCAACATGTGGGGCTGTAACACCTTTTCTTCTCTTATCATATTTCTTCAGTTCTTCATTTATTCATAATATTGCGTTATCGAACAAAACAATTAATCAAAATAGCATTTTTAACAATAGAGGAAGTGTTATATCAACATATCCATCAATACACCCTTACGCGTTTCCAGTGTCCACCCTCTTTGCAAATCTATCTTTCCTTCCTGATTATAAAATAATTAAAATTGATCCAAATTCTTATTCTCATAAAGGAAATGGCCTTAACGTTCAACGTCAATATATGGTCAATACCCTTCGTCGTGCAATTTTCCTTCATCGATTATATAATTGGACCATTATTCCTCAAAATTTTGCTACGTCTTACCGGGGAGATGGTGTTGTGCCATTTGAAGAACTAGTCGATATTGATGCCTTCAATTCGCTTATTGAAAACTTTACAGGATTTAAAAGTTTGGTTCCGTGCATGTCACCCAATTCTATTATTCCTTCTCATATTAAACCCATTCGATTTCAAAGTGTAGAAGATGTTATTCAGCAAAACGGTGCTTTATATTACGAGTTACCGATAGCTGCTTTTGATGTAGTTGATCAAATCGGAAGAGATATGAAATGGGCTAGTCAACAATTAGACAATACAATTTTATTCGGTATATTACATGCAGCACCTCATATTGAACTTGCGGGAAGAAGGATGGTTCATCGGTTGTACAATCTCACTGGCTCAACTAATTTTACTTGTCTCCATTTGAGGATTGAGAAGGATTTCGCCGACTATTTTCAATCGCCAAATCGTTATTACAATCTTAATCAAATTGTTCGAAAAGTCAGAGACGCTGCACGAGACTCCGCTAATAAAACTTCTTCCACTTCTACTTTCATTCTCAGTCGTACCCTATTCATAGCAGGTCATCATCTGAATGCAACGGCGATCATTACTCCCTGTGCGGATTTAAAATATTTTGAACACATTCACACGAAATTTACACTGGGACTGGAAGATTTGTCTAACGTCTCTGACCACATTACCGTATTTGATGCGATTCGCGATTTTGAAATTTGTCGTCATTCAGTTTCATTTATTGGTAATAGTTTCAGTAGTTGGTCTGAGATGATTTTTGACTATAAAATGTGGACGAATGAAATCGCTTCATACACTCGCGAACGGACATTATACATGGTCAATTCTTGCGCCCGAGATGGAAGTGGACCGCTAAAGCCTTTTTGTTCAGCGAATCATGGTACTCGATTTCCGCACATTATATGTAATCAAGAAGGGTGTTAACGACTAGTGTTATCGTTATGGCTTTGCATTGCTTAGTCGTCTCTCTAAAGAAACTGACTTTTTCCTCCATTCTATTTAAAGATTACTGAATCACACTTTAATGGAATTTGTAGTGCGAAAAATGGAGACAAGTAAAATTAGTTCACGTGGAAAAGCGCCAGGTTTTAGAGGAAGAAATATGAAGTTGTCGTGAAGAAGCACCAACGTCTTGAGTGGACAGTTGTTGTTACGACATTTGAAATTCACTCCAGCCACCCTCACCCAGGACAGGATCTTAACTTTGAAAATGATCAATATCATTTTTTAATTGAGTTTTCGACGCTGAATTAGAAAAAAATAGTTTGAGCGTGCCGAATTAACAAACAAGTCGGACATTCCGGCTTTTTTTAACATCGCGGTTTTTTCGAGTTTTCTCAATTTTTAAGACATATGACGCAATATAAAAGTTCGAGCTTTTGGTTTTCTTTATCCATCATCTACGCTACCAAATGGACGATATATCGAACATGGACATATTCATTTAGAACATCGAGAGAGATTTTACGAGATATAAAAATATAAAACAAACTGTCTCTCTCTCTCTCACTTCTTCAAATTTCGTTTTCATCTCATTTTTCCTAAATCTATCTTTTAAAGCAACTAACTACACACACAATGATCAAAGAAAACGTTGGAAAAGTGGGAAGAATTCACCTCTCTACTTGCTCACTGAACCTGCTGTTTTAGTAATTGCTATACAAATAATAAGAGATAAACCACCTTTATCAACATGAAAATAGACTATTTTCTATTAGAGACGTTTCGTCTTTATTCAAAAGACATCATCAGCCAAATGTGACAGACGATAGTTGATTCAAAATAAATGTGTCATTCGATACAAAATAAATGTGTTGATATACGCTCAGTTTTGAGCTCATTCTGATCAGTCGAGGGTGAGTCCGAAGGAAATAAATTTAGTGTTTCAATGCCAACCTTCAGATCCTTAAACACTTTTGTTAATCTTCCACGTGTGCATGACACAACTAAAACAAAGATTACTTATATTTAAACCTCACTTTATTTTCAAGCAATCGTTCGAGTAACTTCATCATAGAGTGGGTTACAGTCACTCGGAGTGACTTGGAGTGGACCCATAAAAACGATATTCGATTCTTTTATCAACGACATTTTTTAAAGAAAATGGCTTGGTATAGGGTGTCGTGAATGAAGAATTTGAAGGTCTATCGATTAATAATATCTTCGTGTTAAACAGCGGTTGGAGCGTATTTTATTAATACCCTTAAAAGTGGCAAGGGCACCAATGGAACGCAACGAAATTTATTCCGTCCTGTTGTGGAAAATCAAATATATTCTAAGATTGGGAGTCACATTCTCACCCTACCAACCCCTGTTTCCTGGTCGGAACACGTTTGTAAATGACAGTAAATATTATTGATGGCTAGGAATAGTGCATAAAAAAGGATATCTCTTCTAACCTCCGCTGATTAGCTATCTTGCATTAATTAGTTACTCAGTGGATAGAAAGACAACTTGTTTCCTAGCCTTTGTTACGTAGTGAACTCTTTTATTTAAAGAACTGTACGATATAACTACATACCATATACTAAGGAAAACAGTCAATATTTATAGGTTATAGAGCGAGCAGAAGAGAAGAGAAAATCGTACCATACAAAGAATTTCACAATATCAGACCATATGAGCTATTTATATAAGCAGAAAACGAAGAAAGAAGAAAACGATTAAAAAGAAAAAAAAATGACGTCAAGCAAGAAAATAAGAAAATTTATATTTTCCAGCAAATGTTCGCTGCACTTATTACTCGACTGCTCTATATTCTGTCAACTTGACAGACTAAGCTGAAACCAACTATAATGTACTCCTCCCCGTTTTCTATGTCAGTTTGAAGTACACGAGTTACATTAGCATCAAAGTTCCATCTAACTAAACTAGTACGTGGATTGGATAGACATGAATGCTTCGTTATACAATGATGAATATAACAGTGATGGATGAGTAGTTATTATTTATCATTTAACACTCTTATTCACTGATTATTAATAGCTGTTTCGAGAAGATACTGACTATGGATAATAGCAGCCTTTTAACTATTTTTATTTCTGTTTTACATACATTATCTCTCACTATCATGGTCCGAAGAGAAAGCCGGAAAGTCATGGTAGTTCAGAATGTTCTCTGAAAGCTCATTTGCCTTTTATATTGGCATAGATACCCACTTTTTCATACGTTCAGCTGTGATATTGGCAGCCGTATAACTAAAAAACTAAACGGTACCTTTTTCTAAAAAATAGCATGGTATAGAGTACAAGTTGTGTACCACAAACTGGCAGGAAAACTGGAGAGGGGTCCCTTCAAATTTGTTAACTTTTTATTCTCGGAAGTTGTGAGAATAAACAATAATTTCATAGTGAGTAGAATCCTTCTTTTCGATAAAACGATAAAATTTATTCTTTTCTCCATTTCTTGCTTTATATCTGTCTCAATAGTGTGCATAGAAAGAGAAAACATCAAAGCAAAGAAAAATGAAACATAAAAGAGAACGGGAGAAAAGCGGCATTGTTGATGTCTACTGTTGAATATAGTGTAATATACCGTGAAAACTCACAGTGGAGAATCCGAGTCGAAAAAGTGTCGGGACCCCGACGAGATCTTTGCGCCGTACAAAGTAACTCGTCGCGCTGATTCCGAATATGTAAAAATCTCGAGGGTCGCTTCTCTAGAAAAAAACCATCATATTTTGATATGTGGTCCGCGAGCATACAGACAACTGAGTCGTCCATTTACAATGCCTATACACTTAGGGCGGGTCAAATTGTAGGGAGCAAAAAAAATCGATGTTTTACCTATCCTAGCGGTGTTCTACGGGTCGTTTTAAGAAACTTTGCCCAAGGAACTATAGCTCTATCGTGAAAATCGGG